GAAAGAGTTTGCAATCTCCCATGCTCCCACACAGCAGATACAGATTTGGCTATATTCCACGTTCCATTTACACTCTTTGGTAGTGTTTTAACCCTGTGGGTAGGTAGAAATGACAGTTTTAGAAACAAACCCCTCAGCATATCTTCTTATGCCTCCATCTCCCTACATATTTGCATCCCTATGCATCCTTTCCCCTCACAGGTAGGAAAAATGGGTAGAACAGCTAATTCCTGCAGACCAACACCATTCCAGGCACATCTAGAGCTGCAGCTTGTGGATGGTCTCTACAGGCTGAGGAAATACCTGCTGCTGGTATAATGTGGGAGAGGGATCCCCTCCAACAGTTAGGCCCCACTATGTCTCTGATGAAAGACACATGATCTACCAGGATAGCTGTGATCTTTACCTAGCAGTGCTGACCCAAGCCAAAGGGTGCTCTGGCTCCAGCATGCTGCTGAGGCTGTCTCTGGTGTTGCAGGTGGACACAGCTCTGGCTGAAGAGACAAGGAGTGCTGTGCAGGCTGAGGAGATGAAGGCCAAAGTGAAAGCTCAGACAGCCCAAGCCATTGCAGATGATGCTCAGAGGGACTTGGACGAAGCCCTCCCAGCCCTGGACGCTGCTCTTGCTAGCCTGAGAAACCTCAACAAAAGTGATGTTACAGAGGTAAGTGGGTTGAGGGGAGAGGGTGGCAGAGCTGCATCTGGTCTTTTGCTACAATTCTGCTTCTATAGGCTTGCAGCATCCCCAGCTTTTTCCAGCATATCCATCCGTCCATCTCACTGGGCTTACAGTCTGGGCAGCTGCCCATGCAGCTTCTCAGGTTCACTCCTGAACCAAAGAGTTTTGAAGGGCAGAGAGGCAGCAACTGGCTCCTGGATGTTCCTACATGTAATTTCAATTGTGCCAGAGAGGGTGTTGAGGAGGGTTCACCTCATGGTGCCAGGCAGCAGGCAGTACCACAATGCAGCCTTGAGTATTGGCGGCACAGCCCAAGGCCAGATCTAGCAGTACACTGCCTGAACCAGCAGGCTCTTTTGAAAGGAGATGATCAACTACAGGCAGAGAAGAGGAAGAGGCCATGGCTCATGAGCTGACTCCAGGGAATAATGGCTTGGAACCCGGTAGAGAAAAGAGGGTGATTCTGAGCCTGGCAAATGTCACAGCTCATAGCCTAGAAAGCAAACTCAGCAAGTATACAAGAGTTTACCACACAGGGACAGGCTTATATATTGCTCTCAAATTGTGAATTACAGACCTTTTTATTCCCCCCAAAACATAAAAAACACCTCTCCCATTCTTCCCCTCTACTAGCAGCTCTGCCCTTGGACCAGTATTCCCCAACTTGCTGGTGGCACCCCCCACCATGATGTGTTTGTACACTCTTGATAAGTGGCTTATTCTTCTTCCAGTGTTTCCTAGTCTAAGTCCATCTGTGTCCCAGCCTCCAGCATGTTTCCTTCAGGCTGCTCTCTCACTGTGCACTTGTTCCCTGAGCGTCTAGAGCCTGGACACTCCCTGGTAGGACCTGCTGCATGAACCTCTCAGACATGTCAGTGGCCTGTTGTTCTAGCTCCATGTAAGAGGCAAGATCCATCTCGCAGAGCAATGCCATCATCTGGCCTTTCCCCATGTCCCCATGCCACTCTGCCAGGTGCTTTGCAGCTTTGCTGATCTGGTTGAGGATAGCATGGGTTTGGAAGATCTCCACTTCCAGGTCTGTCTAAACTTTCCTTAAGTCCTGCTTCACTGCTTTCTCCTCCTCTTCCAAATACCTCAGCTTGTACTGCAGGCTGGCTGCCCAAACCTGCAAGCTTGCCGTGCTGACAGAGTTGATGATCACAGTAGTTCTTCAGCTCCTGAAGCTCCTTGCTGCAGGGCCTCCAGAGAGGGACGCCTCATCATCTGATATCATGCCTATGGGCTGTGGGACCTGGCAGAACATCTGCCTGTGCCTCATTTCCACACAGCCTCCTCCCTAGGGCAATATAGGTCTAGCTCCTCTGCTAAGACGTCTTCAGCCTGTAAGATACACCTATCAGAGCATCAGGCCAGGCTTTTTCAGCCTACCTATAGTTTGCTCCATGCCTGTTCTGATAATATTTCCCTTCACATACTTCTGTCCTTGCTGCCTGTGTCTTGCATCCTCTAAGTGTCCTGCCTGCCTCTGGTCCCAGTCTCCCCTGAGCCAGATGAGGTATGAGCATTTCCATCTCACTGAGAAGCAGGCCAGCTCACTGTCTCCATTTGGGTTTTGAAGGTACGAGCAATGCAGCGGCCTCCCCCTGGTGTGAAGATGGTGATTGAAGCTGTCTGCATTATGAAAGGAGTCAAGCCCAAAAAGGTGGCAGGAGAAAAGCTAGGCTCCAAGGTGGATGACTATTGGGAACCAGGCAGGGGCCTTCTGCAGGACCCAGGGAAGTTCCTGGACAACCTGTTTAAGTATGATAAGGTACGTGGTGGCAGAGGGAGGCTGAGCCCAGGGATCAGGTATTGCCCCAGGGATCCTTCTCACTGCAATGAAGCTTAAAGCTCCTCGTGGGCAACACCCTTCAGCAGCACAGAGGATGAGGATGTTCTTGGCCTGAAGTCTTTATGTCGGCTGGCTGTACTTCATTGCCTTGGGCAATGGGACCAGATGCACAAGTCTTCCCCTTTTGTGCCTTTGCTCTTTTCCATGTGGAGGAGCTGGATAGAAATGGTACAGGAAGGGATTTACCCAGTCACACAGCCGTGCCTCCCAGGTCTCAACACACTGCAATTTGATTCTTCTTGCTCCAGTACACTGCTTTAACCACTTTGCCAGGTCCTGGACAGGCTGCAGCCACTGGGGGAAGCCCTTTGAAACCCTCCTAGTCAGATCTCTAGCACTCTCATCACTGATCTCTTTTTCTCTCCTACCATTCCTTGCAGGACAATATTCCAGACTCTGTGATCAAGGCCATCCAGCCCTATATTGACAACCAGGAGTTTCAGCCAGCTGCCATTGCCAAGGTCTCCAAGGCTTGCACCTCCATCTGCCAGTGGGTGCGGGCCATGCACAAGTACCACTTTGTGGCCAAGGTTGTGGAGCCCAAGCGGGTAAGAGGCAGCATGACCCCCTTGCTCTAGGTGTTAGGGGACACATTATTAGCAGCCCCTTTCTGCAGGAGATGCTGAAAGTGATCATGTTCTGCAGGTCAGGATGTAACGTTCAGACCAAGCCTTAGCAGAGCCAAAGCCTCAAAACCCATTAACGCAATAAAGTAGAAGAAATCAGGCTAGTATATACTGGGACAGAAGTGGTACCTTGTTCTTAGTGCTGAGTTCCTGGCTCAGCAGAGACTGTACTTGCAGAAGCATTCCCACATCTCACTAGCATTTCAGCCTTAATCCTCTCTAAGCCTAGTTATTCCTTTGCTGTTACTTTGGGGCAAGCAGAGGAACCTTTCCTCCTGTTCAGCAGTGGGCCTGAGCTTGTGTAAGCTAGCACAGGCTCTTGGCTTTTTGGAGCTATGCAGAAATGCCCTCTGCACCCCTACTTTTATTCCTGGGCATGCAGAACATCCCCCTGGAGCTAGGCAGGTCAAATGTCATACAGAGACAGCTATCAGTATCAGCTAGTGCTTTTAAGGAAAAACAACTCGTGCTCCAAGGTCTCTAGCTTTCTGGGGAAGAGCAGGGCCATATGCCCAATGTACCCACTGTTTCCTTGTGCATCTCCCCAGCGAGCCTTGCAGGAGGCAGAAGAGGACCTGCATGCCACTCAGCTGGTCCTTGAGGAAGCTAAGGCACGCCTGAAGGAGGTTGAAGTTGGCATTGCTCTGCTGCAAGACAAGTACAAGAGCTGCATAGCCAAGAAGGAGGAGCTGGAGATGAAGCGTGAGCAGTGTCAGCAGAGACTGATCCGCGCCGATACAGTAAGAGACAGAGCTGAGCTCTGCCTGCTTATGTGAGACAATGTGATTTCAGGTCAAGGAGCACAGTGGTAAAAACATTTATGTGCCTGCAGTTCACGACAATCCTAGGTTGAAACTGGCTGGCCAGATCTCAGCAGCACAACAGGACTGGGGAGGCTAAGTTACCTAGGCACGGGTATGAAAAGCTGCTGTCCTCAGCTGCACAGCTGCTTCAGCCAGCAGTGGGTCTTCAGGACATCCAAGAACAGCTCAGTAGTCCCAGGATTAAGTGCTCAAAGCTAGGGACAGAATTCAGTATATGGTAGGGGCCACAGTGCAACCTCTGGCCACCAAAGTCACCTGCTGCGTTACCCAGAGAATAGCAGATCCAGGCCACAAGATTAGACCACACTGCAGTTCTCATGTGTATAACTTATCCCACAGCTCATAAACAGTCTGGCTGATGAGAAAGTTCGCTGGGAGGACACTGTAGACAGCCTGGATTACAAGATCAACAACATCAATGGGGATATGCTGGTTGCAGCTGGCTTTGTGGCCTACCTGGGCCCTTTTACAGTAAGTGTGCAGTGGTCCCTGCGAGGGGCTCAGTTAGCTGCTCTGCTCTCCTGGCCTATTACTGGTGCTGGCTAAATCTGCTGGGAGAAAGGAATAGAGCAAAAGGGTGCAAGATCCCTCCTGGATCTCTATTTGTGACAGGCTGCACATGGTCCTATTTGAATGGGAACAGGAGGGTTTAGATGCTCGCAGGAGACTAGCTTCACTAGAAGAAAGGTTATGACAGTGTTTTTTGTGGCAGGGAGACTACCGCATATCACTGTGCAAGGAGTGGGTGAGGCATCTGTCAGAGAACAACATTCCTCACACTCAGGAGCCAAACCTCATCAGCACCCTTGGAGACCCTGTGGAAATCCACTCCTGGAAGGCAAGTTGCAGAAAACCCCAACACTTCAGACTGAAGGTGCCTCAGGCAAAGGCTAAAACACTCAGCTCACCACTCACTAGGATCACCTGTACCAAAAATCAGAGACCTCAATAATTACCAAGCACTTCCATACTGTAGAGCTGGAATTGCTGACAGGGCTTCCGGCACAATGAGCAGGAAATGACCTGGCAGCATCCAGGGCAGCAGCTCTGAAGGCATCAGCCTTAACATGTAAGGCTTTCCGTTTAGAAAGCATAGGCCTAGAGCAAAGCCATGGCCGCAGCTCTGTCCCAAGTCTCAGCCACTTCAGGCAGAGCTGCAGCTCTGGGCTCAGATGCTGTTAGAGGTACCCTCACCACCATCCCCTACCCACCAGGCCGGGTCAGGGCAGCAAGGGCTTCTCTCTGTCACCTGTGCTGTGCTAACCAGCAGCTTTCTCTACCCCATTAGATTGCTGGTTTACCCAATGACACCCTGTCTGTGGAGAATGGGCTAATAACACAATTCTCCCAGCGCTGGACTCTCTACATAGATCCCCAAGGACAAGCAAAGAAGTGGATCAAGAATCTGGTAAGAGCTGTGGGGAGGAAAGCCAGGTCTGCTAGGATAGGAGAAGCAGCTTTCCGGTAAGAGCTGCACAAAGTAGCCTCAGGCTTTGGGCTGCAGAGCCTAGCTCAGCCTCCCCAGCACCAGAGAGGCTCCACATCCATATTAAGCCCATGTGGATTTCCATGCTTGGGGAAAACCGCACAGGGTAGAAAGGGGCTCTGCTGCAAGCAAGTGAGGCATCAGATTCCTACTCTGGCTCTCCACTAGCATTCTAGGGGCCTTACATCTTTCACCACACCCTAAACCACAGAGAATGACACTAGCATCTCCCATAACAGCCTTTAGGGTCTCTAGAAAAGAAGGGATCAGGGTAGCATTACCTGGCTGGTGAGTCCCTGCTGCTGGAGTGCCGGGAACACAGACCACCACCTCCCCTGCTGCCTTTCAGGAGAAGATGAACAGTCTGAAGGTGTCCAAGCTGAGTGACCGGGACTTCCTCTCCAGTCTGGAAAACGCCATTACCTTT